AAAAGAATGATACAATTATTAAAAAAACTAAACACACTAGTTAGAAGAGAAGATAATAATAATAATATTAATTATAATAATAATATTATTAATCATAGTTATAATGATAAAAATAATGAAATATTGCAGTTAGTAAAACTTTACAAAAACGCTATCCGTTCTGAAGGTGAAGCATCTAAAGCAAATCAAAAAGTAATTAGAAATTGGTATGAATTTTATGATGAATTTGATAAACAAGTTAATCAAAAATCAAGAAGTCATAAGATTTCTAAGAAACAAGCTATGTCTAAAATATATAATCAATTTTTAAAATGGTTTCCTAATATGACACAGATTACTTTGAGAAAGAGAGTGGAAAAGGAAACAAGATTTATACCTTATTTAAAAATATTGGTATTGACAGAATTGAAAGAGTTAGCTCTTTTAGTGCTGACAAAATTTCAGAATTTACAGTACCTCAAATTGAACATATTATCAAAAATGTATCTAAATAAATCTTAACTTAGCTGCAAAATGTCTAGTTATATATTTTTTGTATCAATTAGTCATGCATTAGATAATTAACAGTGATATTAATTTGTTGTTTATGATTTAAGCAAACTTAGCATAATTGCATATAAATAAAAAATTTATAAATAAAAAATTTATTGCTAATTAAGTAATTAAATAGTTTTAAAGATTTTATAATAAGGTAGCTAAAAAGACTGAATAAAGATTAGTTTTTCTGACTGGTCTCATGATTAACCGGTTAAATAGTTAGTAATTTTTTCTAGCTTAATTTAGTTAGCTATGTAAGATCACAAGAGTTTTTTTTTGAGCTTTTCTGAAGAAAAAATGCAGAAGTTAAGTAGCTGAAGAAGAAAAAAAAAAGAAGAAAAAAAAGAAACTTTTTCTAATCTAAAAAGCTTGACTAAAAAAAAAAGATAGTTACTGAAGAAAAAAACCTCACTACAATCATATATTACTAAAAAAAAATTCTGATCTAGAAAATCTGTCAAAAAAAAATAAAAATAAAAAGGTAGTTAGCTGAAGAAAAAAAACCAGCAAAATAAAATAAAATAACTTTTCTGAAATCATATCTCATCAAAAAAAGAGTCCTAAATCTATAATAGCCCTGTTGCAAGACCAATAGTAAATTTATAATCATCAAAAAGTCTTGTTCCAGTTAACATTTTTGATATGAAGATCTAATGTTATGTTTTTGTAAATTTTTGACCTAATAAAACCTTCAGATTGATATAAAGTATGACACTACAAATACTATTTTTTAAATCATTTTCAGTATAGTTTTCAAATAATACCCTGATCACTATATCAAGATTACAGGAGTATTAATTAATAATACCCTGACCGTATATGAATAAGTGGAAACTCTGTTTCTGTTAATTCCCAACGGATCAGGATATTATTATTACTAATCCTAGATTCAAGATATGATTGCTGCTATCTTTATCTTGCATAGATTTATCCAAATTTCTTCGAGCAGTTTTCATTTAGTTTACCAGATAAGATCACGAAAATTCTTTCTTAAGAAAGCCTGTTACAAGAACAAAAGGAGGATGTTAGACA